CTTTCCCTGCTCTTTACCGTGTGTGTGTGTGTGTGTGGGGGGGTGACCACAGTTACTCAAAGTATTTCTCGTGGTTAAAGTACTCATCAGGTCCACGTGCAACGGAAGAAAGCTATAATTGCATTTATGCCTCTTAATATTTTGATTTTCTGGTCTAAGTACGTCTTTTGGCACTTATAAAATGGCCTGGCCCTCTTGCTGCCAATTAATGACTTTCCAAGCTGAGAAAGCTATAGATGCGGGAAAACCCAAGCAGCGCTGAAAGAGCAGGAGTGACTGCAGCAAGAATCCACAAGGGAAGGGGAGCGTGAGAAGAGAAGTGAAAGCCATTCACCTTCTCACCCTTCTACCCCTCAGACGACTTTGTGTTTCCACACTGCTAAAATGTCATGCTTTGCCTTATGGTATATTTGAACTCAGGTCTTTATATAAGTCAGTGCTCCTGGAAGGGCTCATCTCCTGACCCGGGGGCAAGGAGGGAGGACCCTTTGGACCTCACATCCAGACCTCCAAATGAGGCTAAACCTCCACTGACAGGTACACAGAGAGGACTGAAAGCTGTACATCACTCAACCTGAATTTGTAAAATATATACTGCTTTGACATTTCTTCATTTTTTAATGTATTGGGAACCTCAAAAACGGAAGGGGTTGAGCTCTCTCTCCGCCCTGAAGCGGGGTGTGTGTGTGTGTGTGTGTGTGTGTGTGTGTGTGTCTGCTTTTTTACGTGTATTTGTCTTCCAGTGCACATTTTCATAACTGGACTGGATGTCACATGCTCAATTAACTAGGGAATACGTTTTTATTATCAATGCCACTATTGGTTGTGTCTCGATCTCCATAAGGAACTGGCCAGCTGGGGAGATTAGCATGAACTGGCTCATAACTGGAGGGGAATGAGGATTTGTGAAGACAACACATTTACTTTGTATGCTTGTGCTTTGTTTATCACAAACAGGCGATAATGATAAGGATGTGTAAGAAACACAGTGTTAATGACAATACCAGCCGGGAGTGCGAACAAAAGCCGAGACTCTGGAGCTAAAGCTAGATGTAAATTAAACCCTAGGTTTGTTCAGAATTCAGGTCTTATAGCTACATATTTATGGCTATTAGGAAGACATCTGTGTTAAAATTCCTGCAAGAATAACAGTGTGAAACCCTCCAGCCACTGATCCTAACTCTTCCCACTAAAGCAATTGCTTTATGACATTGTTTTTGCTGATGTGACCATTTTATTACAGAAAATGTATTATATAACACATGCAGCTTACATACCTGCAACGTTTATTAACACACTATACACTGATCACTTGTGGTTCAGGAGGTGTTTGCAGATTGTATGAAGATAAACATTTTAATTTCAATAGTTGTATATTTAATGTGCACTTTACATTTAGGGTGAATTTCCCAGTTTTCCATTGATAGTAGTGATGCACCATCACTTTTAAGTGTAAGCTAAAGAGTGAATGAATTTATAGAAAAATACTGAATAAATAAAAAATGTGGTGGTCTACTAAGCAAAAATCATGAAGGTGCTCCAAAAATGACCCAAGTTTTGGAAGCAACAGGCCATGTAATAAGAAAGAAAATGCAGGCTTTGGGTTGGTTTTTCAATAGTGATGATGGCTACACTGAGCCATATCGGTGAGCAGTGCCACACACACGCAAGGCTGCTGTCTGATGCCCCAGGAGCGTGCTTTTCCACGTGACACTAATTGGCCCACACAGGAGTGAAACCATGACCCTTCCCTCATTAGCCACATGCTTAGACCAGCTGAGCTAGCTCACTCTGGGTCACTGGGGTCCCATGTAGGAAATTACCATTCCAGTGCCCTGTAGTCCTTTCGTAACCTCAACTAATGAATGTCCCGAGGAGCCTAATGTCATTCCTGGGGGAGCACACAGCTCTCCCAGCAGTGGGAAAGCGGATGATATTCTCAAGTTTTAACCTGGGGAGAGCCAATTGAAGAAGTGGGGAGAACTCAGGCAGCCTGGAAACAATCTTTCGAACACCTGTGTGCAAGACTAAAAGATGGCAACATGCTGCTGTGTCCATTTGTTTGCCAGGCCTGGTCTCAGGACATGAAATGCAAGCACAGGGAGGTGAAGAAAGCTGCTGAGCATCACGTAGCAAATTCATCACAGCAGGAATAACATCAAGTCTTTGTTGTCTGGAACGAGTACATTTGATTACCAACCCCATGAGGCAGGTGTTATTATCCCTATTTTAGAGATTCAGAAACTGAGACTCTGAGGTAACTAGTCAAAGAGTCTAGGACTGTGGGCTCTTCCCAGGATTGCGATATTCTGGAAATTAACAAATAGTCAAGTTGATGGGCAATTTCATAATATGGACAGACAACTGGCCAAACCTTTCTGCTTGTGCCCCCTTTTAGGTCTCAGGAGAAAGACGATAGGTTCTTTATTTTTCTGTAGCTTTAGCACATCCATAATTTAGTCTTGAGAAGAGTTGTTTGAATAAGATGAATTTATAGTCAAGACTGAGAAAAAGCCTTCTTCCCACATGCTGGAGAACACTGGAAATGAAGGGATGGCAGGCTTTCTGAATGCATACTGAAGAATTGGGAAAAGCCATGAGTCACTCCATCATCTTTTTAAAAAGACTGTTGGATGAATACCCCTCTGACGGCCAAACTAACCGGTGGGTGAAATGCCTTCTGGTGCTCACTTGGCAGCTACCCTTCCCGGAGCCACAGCTGGCCCACTGCCCTGGGGTCCCCACTGCCCTGGTTCTCCCTGGAAGCCATGAAGGCCTGAGTGCACGTCCACTTCACGTCAAAGGACAGACAGTACAAATCAGAAGAGACTAGAGACACTTATGCAAACCAACAAGCAATACTCAGTCCTCCGGTATCTGATTAGTCTAAAGGGATAATTCAGCTTGCCCTTAAAATTTGCTGGTCAAATGCCTAAGGAATTTAGTATTTTTAAGGTGCAACTGACTAGAGATCTAGATAGAATTGCTAATTCACCATTTATTAGCAGAGAGATATTGGCAAGTTACTTAACCTCTGTTTCAGTTCCCTCCTATACATGACAGGGACAAAAGTCTTCCTCTCATGGTGGTTTCTGAACCAGATAATGCATGTATGTAATATGCTTAGCACAGAGTTGGAATGCTCAAAAATGACAGGCAGTACTTTTAATTGCATGCCCTGTCCTCTTTCCTGACCACAGTGTGACTGAGTGAAGAGTGGTACAAGCTACCAAGGTCCAAAAGCACGAGACAAAGCTCTTTACTGTAATCTCATTTTCAGTTACTCATTTGAAGGCAGTATCTGTTTATTATTTCACATACTGTATTCCTCCTCACCAGAGGCTGCTGAGAAATTATTCCTTGAGGTAGAGAGGGAAAGGTCTTTTGAAGGAGTGAGCATGAAGTCCTGAGACTTCCTAGCACTGTCTACCCACTCCTTCCCCAGTGCCCAGCTTAAAACTATAGACTTTTCTGTGTCTATTATAAATTTTCTTCTGACTTGTCAGCATTATTTGCTTGCAGTTTTGGAGGCTCAGTTCTGGTCGTCAAATCACAAGACAGCTGCAGCCGTTCTCACAAATGGGCTCTCAGGCATCAACACTGGGTGGAACTGAATTGTTTCCAAAATTGAAATAGCTGCTGAGAAATAAGGGCATCAGGATAGTTTTCCCAGGTGATCCTTGGCCAGCAGGTAGGAAGACGCTGCGTGGAGCTGACAATATTCCATGATGAACTGATACACCACATGATGTGAGATTCTCTAAAACAATGGACACTAGGCAACCTCTCTCTTAAACACTCTCCCCCAAGCACATTCACTGGCTGATTGCCATCGGTCAGGCTTCCTAAGCTTTCAGTAAATTCAATATTGGTAAGAAACGTTTATATTGCCACGAGTTGGTTATAGCTTGATTTTCCTTGATTATCTCAGCCAGATTTGTGAGCACTTAACAATTAATTGAAGCAGTGACTGGAGATCTGGAGAGGCAGGTCCTTCTGGGACCTCTAGTTAAGCCATTCTCTTTAACCCACTGCCACCTAGTGGTAACTTAGCAGACTGAAAAACGCTTCACTAAAGGAGAGCGTAGCTGGGCAAGGAACTCTTTCTTTGACACTCCTATCCAGAAAGTAGAGGGAAAGAGTGACAGATATACCTCATTTCACTGGCCTCCATTCCCAGGCCAATATTTAACTGTCACTGTGTATTTTAAATGTCAAACTAGCTGATTCTTCTGCCTTTATTTTCATTAATGAGGACGTTCTCATTTAATCAGAACTCTTTGAGATACAAAACAAGCAAGCAAGGGCCAGAACTGGAGCATTTGGATCTTGCCTCCCTTTCCTCCACTTCTTTGGAAGTTAGAAATTTCCTGTATGTCAACTGAGCCCAACTTAATAACATATGCTTTGAAAGTGGGGAACTGGGTCTTGACAGTTAACTTGAGGTTTCCCTCTCTAAGAATCAATATGATTTTTGTTTGTCTATCTTCCCAAGGTGACTCAGTTCTGGAAGCACACCGAGGAGATCAAGTATTCAATGTGGCAAATCTTTGCGCAGTTCAACTTTCTATGCATGCACAGAGAAAAGCTGGTGGCAAATTCAGACATTTCTGGAAGCAGTGAGGATCAATTAGTCAAGTGTGGTAAAACAGTCAATGGTGACCTCAGCAGATCGTGAAGACAGTGGATTAATGCCAGTGAGCTATTAGGTAGAATGAATTCACAGGGCAATTACCATTGCTTGGGGCTTAGCAGAGATAATTCACAATGTAGGCCAAATTTCTTTTCTAAGCATGAACTTCAAATAAACTTGGAAGAATAAAGCTACCTCAAGGATAGAAATCTAGATGTGTGTGCTTTGGTTAAAAAAAAAGGCGCAAGGTTACAACAATGACACTGCTGGAAATGTTTTAACTTTCTAGGTCAGTATCTTCACTTGGTAACAGACTACCCTGCCTCCTCTCCCCTACCCCCAAAATCAGCAGAGACAAAGCAGCCAGTACATTAATACAATCATATTTATTACAGTTTCCAGACTCCCATATGACACATATCTAAAGCAGAACATTGCAAACTGACGTTACTAGCAGCAATTCTCCCTAAACAGAAAGAGGTTAGGTGAATTTAACAATTAGGAGTAATTTTGAGACAAGGTTACAAGTCATGGTTTTTCTTTTAGCATCTGGTATATGAATAGAAAAACTACAAATTCATAGAGTCATCCAGGTTTAGCCTTGTCTAAAAAAACATTAATAAGTCACGGTGCAGAGGGGTATCCCCAGGGTAGCCCAGAAGGCTAATGTCTTTAGATACCAGTATGAAATAAGTAAATCACTTTTCAAGACATCACTTACTATCTGCTTTACCTTCAGGACAACAGAAAAAGAGCTGGACAGCTGCCCTAGAACCTAGCTCACACATAATTCAGTCAGATAATCATTGTTTAAATAATATCCCTTAAAATTTTTTAGACATTTTCCCCCCACAGCTCTAAAAACATAACATCAGACATAACACCAGATGTTTGCTCAAAGGACTAAAAATCAAAAGCATTTGCTATGTATTGGGAATAGCTTTTATAGCTTTCCTGAGGGAGAGTTCCCTTCTTTTCAGAGAATGTTTTTAAAGGAGCACTAAGTCTGGTTGCTTATCAAACTACTTTTCATTCTAAAAAAATAAAAGACCAACTGAAGGTCTCAGGTGTACTTATTTTTCCCCCTAGATCTCTGAACCATCCAAAGCCATTTCTTGACAGAGAGCTTTCATTTTTATTAGAGGAGTGCAAGAGAACTTACAAACATTTGAAAAATACTCAAAACACTGGGAATACAGAAGGCCCAACCCTTCCTCAGAGCCCAGGAAACTGTGACAGGAACCCCAAAGGCTTATCTTAAATCCATCACTCAATTTGCCAGAAAACAATGACAGACCACCCACCTTTGCAACACAGGCCCAGATAAAATATTCTTGCTTTACAATCACTAAGAAAAGCCTTCTGGGAATTACTGCCCAGAAAAACACAGGCTCATGAAGAGAAGTTAGTGAAAAGAGGTCAACTGCATTCTGTATCTGGCACAGGAAAAGAAAAATTAAAACAGTTGCAAACCACTATATTTATACCATGATACACTTACATAAACCTTGACCTGCCCAAAGAAATCATTTCATTCAAAAAAAATATACAAAGGGTTGAAAAACTTTAGGGCAGCACCAGTGACAGCTAGCTGTCTTTGATTAATTTAAATTTTTTCCTAAAAATAAAATTTAGACAAAATTTAAAGATGTAATTTTCAGAACCGATTCTATTTCATGATTTTACCCATTCCAGCTGCTACAGTGCAAACAGGAATAAAAATATCTATTCTTCATCAAGCTAGGTTTCTATTTCTTCTCAAGGGATAGAAGCAGTACACCTACTTTCTATAAGGCTTCTGAGGATTAAGAGCAGCTCATAGCTCGTGACCTGACAATCTCTAAAGGTGCTTCTGGACTATTTCACCATGAAAACAGATAACCCCCTCTTGATCCACTAACAACTCATAGCAGGGATTCCTATGCACCTAGACTTTAATACTAATGGATTCTAGGATTTTGGATTTGACATGCACTATGCAGAGAGCAGGGTACTGATTAGGCACTGCTAACTCTGGCTAACCATCTGACCAACAATGGCCCACCTCTGTCATAAGATGGTCTCTGAAAGGAAGCATAAACGCTTCCCAGATACTAGAACAAACAACCTAAAGTGCAAGTTCTCCTCGTGGCAGAGCAGCAGAATCACCTCTATGTACAAAGAATGGCACATGAAATCATTCTGGGTGTGAAACCATATCTTCTATTTCTCAATCCCTTGTTCTTACCTAACAAAGCTGGAAACTGCTGAAAGGACCTCAACAACTACACAGGTATGCCCTGTGAAATGTCCAGAAAACACATTCCCATGTTTAGAAATTACCTTGAAGAACCAAAGTTGGATGTTCATAAATAAGTACTATTCTTACCAAGTTTCCCAAATCCAAATATCTGGAGAATACTAGAAACCACTTTTGCTACACTGCAGCTGCTTAGAGCCCCTTCAGGTGAGCTGGTGGGAGGCCTCCAGGACTCTACCATTCTAGCTGTTACTGCCCCCTTTTCTCTCCTCCTGAGGAAGGCTTCAGTTGTTTCCATAGCAACTTACTATAATGTCCTAGGTGATGACATTTTTTGAGCAGTATATACATTGTTAGGACCTATTTTTTTCTTACTTATGAAAAATTTCTCCAATAATAAAAAAAAAGGCAATGACTTTTAAAAACTGACTTCTCTAAAAAAGTATTATGCTTTGTAGAAAATACCACAATACTAGATAGTTCATTCATTCCAGGATCACTGTCCAAACCAAACAAATAAATGGGCACATAAGACGGATCACACAATTTTAAAATAATCTTCAGAGCCAGAATTGTTAAGCTGGGCAGAAAAACAGTAAATCAATCTTTATATGGATATATAAAAATTATATACAAACATGAAAACCAGCATTGGTTAGATTTAATCAGGCACTAGGCTGAAATAGAAATTGATTATATTCCTTTTGATGCCAATTTTCTACTTTACTGGAAAAATCTAGTATCCATTACAGCTTTTAGCTGAGGAATGAGAGGGCAGAAAGATGGGACAGCCAAACAGGGGAGATTGGTAAAGAGGTAGAGGCAGGGATGCCTGATAATTAAACAAGACAACTATTAATTGGGAAACTGAGATTTTATACACACTATTTAGAAGAGATTTGACTGGAAGATTCCAAAGATGACTGTTCAAGTTTGTGACCTGGAACCTCTCTAAATGTTTAGTGCATCTGCTCTGACTCTAAAAAACGTATTTAAAATGCATTTTAAAATAAAAATAAACAAACAAAACAAAACAATCTCTACAAATTCCCTTTTAGGGATGTGTCATTTTTAGATGCTCATTCTCCCTTTGGTATTATCATATAAATCACTAAGAAGTTTAGGGGCATTCTTTCTGATAAGGATCAGAGAAGGGTGGGGACTAGGATGTAGGAGGAGCAGCAAAGAAATGTTACTCTCCTTTTACTGAAGATATTCTTCTGAAACTTCCACTATCCCAAAGGAGAAAGGAAAGGAATATGGAAAATAGTTCCTGAAGACATTACGGCCTTCTGATCACAGCAAGATCATAATTATGACACCTACAGAGATTACCTGCCTTGCTCATAAGAATTCTAACCAAACTATGAAATGCAGTTAGCAAAAATTACTCATGGCACTTAAATAAGTTCAGAGACTTTAGAATGCCTTCCTAAATTTCTTTTGTCTTAGTGCTCCTGTGAGGTAGGTGTCTGATGGGGAAAATCTGAGGCACAGAGGGGTTAAGTCTGCTCTCCTTTCATTATATGATGAGCCAATGACCCAGCCAGCAGAAGGACCAGGCACCCCAGCTCCATAACCTTTATTTGCCCTGCTTCTCAGAAGGCTTACCTAAGTTATACAACAAATGCAGCAGGGGAAAATCTTCTTTTCAAGCATTTTAACTAGTTAGCTGTTTCTTATTTGTACTGTGAACATGAGTAATCTAAAATAAAACCAAATATAAACAAAACAAAAATCAATGTTGCCTAACAGTCTGTGTCAAGATACAGCCTATTCTGCACTGGTGACTGAAAAAGCATAAAACATGATTCAGGCAGTACTGGAGAGTGCTATGGTATTGAAGCCAGGCTGTGAATGAACTGTCCTTTACAGACACTACCCACTATAGTTTGTGAGAACCTCTTTGGCCTGATACAAGGGAGTTAAAACTACCGCTGCCATCTCATGAAAACCATTCTGAAAGATATTCTACACAGGGCCAGCCCTGCCTGGAAAGGGGATTTTCAGCTGTATGATGCATGTATATTACTAAGTTCATGCAGCACTCTTTGAAGCCAGACATGAAGGTCACAGTCCCTTGCCATAAAGCTCACAGGACAGGTCACAGAGGGGCAATTACACAGGGTACATGCACTAGCACCATGCCACAGAAGTTAGAGAAAAGGACAATAAGCCACCACAGGAGCATCTTACAGTCCCATCTGGTATGCCATTCACAGAAGTTACTTCTGGTAAGGGAAGACCACTGAGGTCCCATATTCCTTCCCATAATAAGGAGAGGGATACAAACAGGGCATTCACTGCCGGCTGCTTTGAATATACCAACTATTCAAATTTTACCCTTACATAAGCTGGTAACTTTCTTAGATCTTATATATATCCAAAGATAATAGATTACATTTCTTGATTAAGAGAGAATGGTGTAGAGCAAAATTCAACAGTCGTTTCAAGATGTGGGTACAGGGCTCCAGGGAAATTTATACTGCTACTCTTAGAATCAAATTCATGAGTACCCAGGCACTAGCTTTTAAAATGAGATCATTCTTTTTGAGATGAGTCTCTCTCCTCCACACTATAGAGTCCATAGAGTGAATTTAATTCATACTACAACCCCTGATTCAAATGGAAGATCTTATATTTGGTCTGAGTGTCTGAGGTACAGCATACCAAATCAGATGTGTGTGCAGCTTGATATTATTGCCTTGATATTAATGCAAGCACCCACCCTCCCAAGGCTTTTCTCCCCTTGAGGGAGCTCATCTCCCAGAGAAACCAAGCCTGGCTCTCTTCTCAACACATGCAGTACCAGAAGGAATCATTCCAACTCAGGGTTTCACTGGGATACTAGGATATAGCACAGCAGCAATTCATGCACTTTATTTCTAAAAACCAAAGCTCAAGTGAGGCTGAGCTGTTCACTGTGCAAGATGAACCAGTAGGACATTCTCACCTCGGATGAAAATCTGGTTTATGTGTCTAGTGAATACCTGCTGGTAATCTACCTTGGGCTTTCTCTTTTTCTTACGGGACTGGCCCCTAGAAAGGGTAGTAGCTCTGGAAAAGGTACCTCCCACACTAGACCCTTCTGTCCGCATAGTCCTCCCTGACAGCTCTGACCTGGACTCCTCCCTTGTAGATGCCTGCAGGGAAGAAGGGACGGAGCGGGAATGTTTGCGTGAACCCCGGTCAGTATCTCCTCTTCCCCACACTGAAGCTACCTTCCAAGTGGATGTCTGGGAGTATCTGGACAGAGTGGAGTCTTCAACTGCAGACTTAGAATCTGCCTCCTTCTTGGAGGAATCTTGAAGTTTTAGTCGATCAAATAGCTATAAGGTAAACAATGACAAATATTAGCCTTTAACATCCCTCTTTCAATATACAGGGGGGAAAAGACCAGATTCCTCAATTATGCTCTGTGGACAACTTGCTTCACAAGTTTTAAAAAGTTAGTAATGAATTTTCTATTTTTACCCATAACTCAGATAAATCAGTAAGTGTGTAAAGAGAAAAGGCACCTGCTTATTTCTACTGGGAAAAACAGAAAGATTTTTAAGGCTTATAAGAGGTAACCTGTTGCTCAAATAATATGCAGGTCCAAAGCAGGAGCTCATCTGAGATTAGCTGGATGCATAAGAATAGACACTAATGAAGACCTTGGTCCAGGCATACCTGGTTGATAGCACCAGGCTTTCCCACTAGGAAACCCTGGTCACTGGGCTCAGTGATCTTAATTCCTAAGCCTGAAAGCATGCTGGGTACTCAGGAAGTCAGGAGAAATTGCCTACCCTCGTGAGAGTCAATGAAGAATCCCGCTCATATGCTTTGCCTAGAACAGGCTTTCGGTAGGTCTCATCCACGTCAGTAAGTGCCTAGAGAAACAGCCCAAAGGGGGAAAAAGGAGGCAAAGTTAAAAATATTATTTTTATGGCTTTCAGAAAAAAAATTTTAAAGACAAAATAACATCTAATTGTAGCAGAATTAAACTTAACAGGTGACTCAGCTCTTGGGCAGAAAAAAAAAAGGTAATACCTGGCACCCTCTGAGTAGGATTTCCAAGAGGCTACAACCATGTAAGATGAATTTCTTCTGTGGTAAAGGGCCTTTACAACTGCACAGAGGTTCTTATATTTCACTGTGCATAAATACCCAGGAAGCTTATTAAAGTATGAATCCAAAGCTACTACTCCCTTAGAGATTCAGATTCAGTAGGTCTGGGATGAAGCCCAGGAACTTTGTTTTAACCAGAAACCCCAGGTGATTCTGATGCAGGACAGCCTCTGTCAATGCTTTGAGAAACACTGCCGCTTCTTTTCCCTTTCCAGTTTCTATGTTTTGTGACAGCAATTAACAGAGACTGACCAGAGTTACACATGAATTATGGTGAATTCTCGTCACTGAGAGATAATTTCACAGGACAGCTGTTAGGATCAAACGAGACTGTATATGAGAAATTACTTTGAAAAGTGTAAATCACCATGCAAGTATAAGCTGACAGTGTTATTATTACCAGCACTGTCATTACATATGTTATCTTAACTCCTTTTCCTTCAAAAATAAAATTATAATAATAATAAAAAATTTCTTACATTTTAGAGGCGAGAAAACTGAGCCTTAGAGTCACACAGTAACGAAGTAGTAAAGCTAGGATTCAAATTCAGGTTTTCTGATTCCATAATGGTTAGAAAAGTCAGAAAGACCTGTAATAAAGTCCTGGTACTTCCACTTACTGAGAGAGTGATCTGAACCAATCTTCTAAAATCTGTAGCCTCAATTCCTTCATTTGTGAAATGGAACAGTAATAGACCTACGACTCATTCATTGTGATAATATGAAGTCCTTAACATAGTATGTGGCACATAACAAGTGCTTAGTAAATATTAGCAACTACTACTATTACCCAGGGGAATGTGTGATGGAGATAAAGCTCAGGGAGAAGAAAAGCTGGAGATGAACAACCATATGGAAAAGAAACACTGCAAAGTCCTGGTGGCTCCTATTTGAACTGCCCCACATTATAGCTGTGCTGTAATATACCCCTTCTTTTCTTCAAATATCTAGTAAACAGTAGACTCTAGAAGGTTGGAGGGGGTACATTCCATAAAGAAACACCATGCAAACTATCTTACTTATTAATATGTCTGCTCCCCCTATCCTCCTTATCTATCTTTCCAAAAACAGTAGAGTGAAAGTTCCTTTCTGAAACTTCTATACTTAGCACTATACCCAGCCAAAGTGGGACGTCAATAAATATTTTTAATAGGAAATCAATATAAAAATACTAAACAGTTGAAATAAGTAATCATTCCTTAAGGTTGGTTTTCTTAACCTTGGCATTAAAAACATTCTGCATTGAGTAATTTTTTGTTGTTGGGGGCCGTCTGTGTACCGTAGGACATGCAGCAGAATCCTTTGCCTCCAACCACTAGATGCCAGTAGCACCCTGTTCCACAGTTGTAACAATCAAACAAATGTCCCGACATTGCCAAATGTCCCTGGGAAGGAGAAGAAGGGAAAAACCACCCTGCTGACAGCCACTGCCTCAATGAAAAGGAAGCAATAAAAGGAACTTTTTTGTTGTTTCTCAGGAGGGTGTAAAGATTCTAGTTCTTCTGGGAAGTTATTCTGTAGGCTTCGCTGAATAAGGTTACTCAGGACCTTTGGACTTGTAAAAGATCTAATCCCCAAGAGGTTCTCCAGCCCCTGAAGAAGGCTTAATTACCATATTCCAGAACTTGTCAAATGCAACGAGGAAGCCTGTACAGACACCCCGAAGTCCCTTAAAAGTGCGGATGTGAACGTTCACCTTCACCCCCTCCCGGATACAACGATGGAGTTCACCCAGAGGGCTGCCTTCGTGCACTGAAATGAGAAAAGAATAGTCACATAGCATGAACAACTAAATCACACACATACACATTCTCTCGCACATACACACACACACTCTCACACTCAGGCATACACAGTCTCAGTCTTTCCCTCCCTCCCAAGTTTGCAAGGCAAAATTCTTTGGAGATTAATGCCACTGATAGTAAACAAACAAAAAAGTCACTTTCTGCTTTCTTCCTAGTGACATAAAATAGAACGACAGTCCCACGCTACAGCTTGGATAACTAGGATGGATACACTTGACCTCCTCATTCTTCAGGCGTGGGAGGGCTTATAAATTATAGTGGTGATAAATTAACAGATGAAAAGTACTCTAGGAAGAAAGTGACTTAACAGATAAGAAGTAGGAGCTTATGTCAGACTGGAGATTCGGCAAGAAGACATAGGTGGGGCAGAGTGGCAGAAACAGCAGCCTTGGAAAGGAACATGAGAGCTTGGTCTGACCTTCATCACCTACCCTTCCTCTAGCAATATTCTAAAATTCTCTGAACCTTTGACATATAAGGGTGTGCATGTATGTGTATATGTATATGTACCTGGGTATGTTTAACACAGACTGTGTTAAATCCAGCACCGTAAACACCATTTAGGTCATTATCACTGGTTGTGTGACCTTGGTGGTAACTTTCTCTCTACAAGTCCAAGTTTCCTTATTCATAAAATAAAGTTAGATGATAGTCAGCTTCTAGATTCAGGAATAAATCTCTATAATTCAATGTCTTAGAAACTGATTATAATGCCTGGATTACTCCTTTTGCCTATATACATACGCTGCCCCCACCTCACCCCCATACACATGTGTTCCCTCAAAGAGTAGATAGACCATTCTTTTTTCTAACTTGGGGAAAAAACAGGGCACCACTTCTCCCCCACACCCCAAATCAAAGAGAAAGGAAAAGCAGGTATCTTAACAACAGTCTCTTATTCTAATGGCAAGTGGCAAACTCAGGTCTTTCAATTCTCACATCTGTGCCTTTCTCTTGATTTTTTTTCTTCCAAAAATTTAATAAGGTGTAATTCCAGGAAGCATTTCTCTCCTGTGATCAAAGGTACGACACTAGCACCACCTACCAGAGCAAACTGCCAAGGCAAAAATGAGCTCCCCATTCTGAATCAGAATGCACATTCTGAATCTCTTTCCAGCAGTCTCTGACAAATTCCAAGTAGATATAAGCTAAGCTTATAAAAACTTAATATGACCAAAGGGAGAGGAAAAAAAAGCCTCATCTTTGCAGAAACTTTTTCTTCTCAATCCCCCTTGCATTGCCATTATGCTTGGGTCACACCCTTCCAAGTCCAGGTCATCTTTACTCCACTCTTACTTCTCCTTGCTCATGGCAATCACAAAATTCAGACAACAGAGTTTCAATAACTAATACCTGTCTCCTTCCACAACTAACCATATCATCATCATCACTGTCACCATCATTATCACCAATTACTGAGCCCTCAGTATGGGCCACGCCCTGTGGTAAGTTTAACTTTATGTACATTATTTTCATTAATCCTTACAGCTAACACATACTCTTATTTCCCCTCATTCTATAAATGAGGAAACCAAGGCTCAGAAAAGTTTAAATAATTTGCTCAAAGTTACTTACTTAGTAAACAGCTGAGCCAACAGTCAATGTCAGGTCACATGCATCTTGACCTACAGCTTTTAATTATGACAGTCTAACAGTGACATTTAACATTCACTGAGAATTTCCATATATGCTAAGGATGATTACTGTTTTAAGTGCTTTAAATGTGTTAATTAATTTAAACCTCACAACAATATGTAGATTCTATCATTGTCCTCATATCACAGATGAGGAAATTGAGGCCCTAAAGAGTTTAAGTAACTTGCCTAAACTAAAATAGCTAGAAAGTAGAGGAGCCAGTATTCAAACGTAGATAGTCAAACTGTGTTCTGCTCTACCCCTAAATAATTTTACTACTAGAAACTTAGCTCCTAGAAACATTTGCCCTAAAAGTGCTTTTGCTTAAGAATAGACACACTAGCCCGGCCGGCTGTGGCTCAGCGGTTGAGCATCGACCTAGGATCCAGGCAATCGGGGTTCGATTCCAGGTCAGGGCACATGCCCAGGTTGCAGGCTAGGCAGCTGATTAATGACTCTCTCATCATTGATGTTTCTATCTCTCTCTCCCCCTCTCCTTTCCTCTCTCTGAAATCAATAAAGATATATTTAAAAAAAATAAAAAAATAGCACACCGTTTCTCTCTCTATCATCACAAAGTCAAAAGAAACTTTTTGGTTTGGCTCTTCAACACATTCTAGCAACAAATCCCTCTCTGGACCCAAATTCCATTCTCATTGCTTTGGACACAAACCCTCTGCCTCACATATGCAGCACCCTCCACACCCCCAAAACAAGCAACCATTACAGTGTACTCTCCTCTTCCCTCTCCTGAGACTAGCATAATGGGTTAAGCACATACGCCCTGGAGTTGGACAAAACCAGTATTCTCAGCTGCAAAGTAACCAGTTATGTGACCCTGGGCAATAACAGTTAATAACTAAGCTTCAGTATCTTCCTTCATCTATCAAGTTGTATCTAAGGGCAAAATGAGATATAATGCATCTAAAGGGCTTAGCAAAGTGTACAGCACATATGTGTTCAATTACAGTAGCTATAATTAGCAACACTGAAATTATCACCTGACTTATAAAGGGCTGCATGAGAAAACTTTCTGGCTGATGGAATTGTTCCGTATCTTGATTGCGGTAGTGATTTCAAAACTCACTGGATGTGGGGTGGAGGGGATAAAAGGAGGGGAGACATCTATAATACTCTCAACAATAAAGATAAAATAAAAATAAAAGGCTGTATTCT